TGCTGAATTCTTTCTGCTTTAGGGCCAGTGTGATAACGTCCCTAGTGTCACCATGGACACAGGCTATAAAAGTGGAATTTTAATAGGACAAAAGCATCTTTGGCTGGTATCATACAACATCGTGCCCTTCTGGCTGCTGCCTTGCATTCCATTCATTACTGTAGTGCACCTTTTCATTGATGGGTTAAACCTGTGAATAGACTCTCAGTCTCACTGCTATTCTATTACTGCTTTTGTGCGATAGGTCCCTTCTGCAACAGTTCCACTTCTCAGGCAGTTACATGCCTTTGCAGACTGCCAGAAATAGTACAAATTGAGTCCACTTTAACTGCCTTGACTCAGTGCTAGGGAATCATGGGAACTGTAGTTTATTGTGGCACCAGAGCTCTCTGACAGAGAAGGCTCAATGTCTCAAAAAAAAAAATACAGTTCCCATGATTCCCTAGCACTGAGCCAGGGCAGTTAAAGTGGACTCAATTTGCACTATTTCTAGCAGTGTGGGTGCGTATGATTCTGTTTCTCTCCCCCTTGCAGTGATCACGTTGCCAACAGCTTCCTGAAGCCAGCTGCTGTGTGCATATTCACACAGCAACTGGCTTTGGGAGATGGTTGGCAGCCGGGATTGATTATCCCTCCTGCTTCTTCCTGAAGTGCAGGGCTTCTGTGTGAATGTGCACACAACAGCCCCATGCTTCAGGAGGGAGAAGGAGTTTCAAATTCACACAGCAGCTGGCTTTATGATCACTCATTCCCCTCCTTCCTCCCTTCAATAGGCTCTCAATCTCGCTGCTATTCCATTACTGCCTTTATGTGATAGGTCCCTTGCTTGACACTCCAAAAACAGATCATGCAACCATGGATTGCCAAAGTGCTATTGTGAGGAATAGCATGTTAAGAAATGATGCCAAACCTATATGCTTCCATTCTTAAACTAGCGTGATCACTTTAGGACAGCAGGCTGGAGTGATAGTCCTAGGGATGCTTTAGTTATGGATTCTTCCACTGGTACAGGGTTGGACTAGTTGGCCCTTAAAGTCCATTCCAATTGTATGATGATGTCGTCTGGTGGGAGAAATTTTCATTAGCCCTAGCCAGCCTTAGAAATGCTCAGGGAAGACAAGAGCAGTAATTTAAGAAGATCTGAAGCTTCACTGAGCCTCCAGCCCTAGGGCAGAGTGCAGTTACAGTGACTGTGAAATTTTGGGAATTGCTGTCCAGGCTCTTCCTAAATTTAGACCAAGACAGAGTTAGGCCTTAGGGATAGCAGTTATTTCAAATTAACTATTACTGAGCCCAAAACTATGATGGGTTGAAAACAAAAGACCCTTTCATTCAGTCTATGGCAGGGGTAGGCAACCTTTTTGAGCCGGGGGCTGGGTTGCTATCCCTCAGACAATTGGGGGGGCCAAAGCACCATAAATAAATAAATAAATAAATATAAAAAAAAATAAAAAATAAAATAAAAAAACGCATGCACACTCTCTCAGCCCCAGAAAAGCCATGGCAAAACCCCTGTGGAGATTTTGCC